AGGTCATAGTAAAGAGTTTAGGATTTATTGTAAGTTCCAGGGGAAGTCAATAAAGGATTTTTAAAAAATATTTTTTGATTGATGTTTAGAGAGAGAGGAAGGGAGAGGGAGATAGAGCAACATTATGTGAGAGTGGAACATTGATCGGGTGCCTCTTGCACACCCGCTACCAGAGATTGAGCCCACAACCTGGGCATGTGCCCTGACCAGAAAGGAGTCAAACAGGATGTTGGGGACATGCCAACCTAAAGCTTGTACTGTGCCCGCCTCCTTCATTTGTAGAATACATTTCACATACCGAGGATCATGGACTTCCCTATTTCAGTGTCTTCAACCTCACTTCCAGAGTGATCAAAGGATGGCTGTTTGGTTGTTGTTGAAGGGGAAGTCAATAAAGGATTTTTTAAAATATTTTTTTGATTAATGTTTAGAGAAAGGAAGGGAGAGGGAGATAGAGCAACATTGATGTGAGAGTGGAACATCAATCAGCTGCCTCTTGCACACCCGGTACCAGAGATTGAGCCCACAACATGGGCATGTGCCCTGACCAGAAAGGAGTCAAACAGGATGTTGGGGACATGCCAACCTAAAGCTTGTACTGTGCCCGCCTCCTTCATTTGTAGAATACATTTCACATACCGAGGATCATGGACTTCCCTATTTCAGTGTCTTCAACCTCACTTCCAGAGTGATCAAAGGATGGCTGTTTGGTTGTTGTTGTTGGTGGTGGTAGTGGTGTTGTATGTATGTGTGTGTGGTATGTATGTATGTGGTGTGTGTGTGTGTGTGTGTGTGCGCGTGTGTGTGTGTGTGTGTGTGTGAACAGAATTTAGACACAAGGGCTGGGATGTCCACAGGCTTGTGGGGAGGCCCCCTCTCAGAGAAGCATAGTAGTTGATACTAATAAGCAATATTTTCACAGTACTTGTAAGCTGGAAATAAGAACACTATAAAGTGGTGTCAGTAGTAAGTTCCTCACACTCCTGCAATCACAGAGATTGTGTCAAGATTGAGGCCCAGAAAGTGGAGAAGGAACATGAAAAACAATTCAGTCCACCATTGAATCACTGTCTCCAGTGCCATGACAGATGCTATAAAACTGGACACTAGCCCTGGCCGGTATGGCTCAGTTGGTTGGTTGGAGCATTGTCCCGTGCACCGGGAGGTTGCTGTATGTGGTGTGTGTGTGTGTGTGTGTGTGTGTGTGTGCGTGCGTGTGCGTGTGTGTGTGTGTGTGTGTGAAACAGAACTTAGACACAAGGGCTGGGATGTCCACAGGCTTGTGAGGAGGCCCCCTCTCAGAGAAGCATAGTAGTTGATACTAATAAGCAATATTTTCACAGTACTTGTAAGCTGGAAATAAGAACACTATAAAGTGGTGTCAGTAGTAAGTTCCTCACACTCCTGCAATCACAGAGATTGTGTCAAGATTGAGGCCCAGAAAGTGGAGAAGGAACATGAAAAACAATTCAGTCCACCATTGAATCACTGTCTCCAGTGCCATGACAGATGCTATAAAACTGGACACTAGCCCTGGCCGGTATGGCTCAGTTGGTTGGTTGGAGCATTGTCCCGTGCACCGGGAGGTTGCTGGTTCGATTCCCAATTGGGGCACATACCTAGACTGTGGGATCCATCCCTGGTCAGGGCACATACGGGAGGCAACTGATTAATGTTTCTCTCCCACATCGATGTTTCTCTCTCTCTTCCTCTCTCTCCCCCTCTCTCTAAAATCAATAAAACATTTTTTTAAAAAGTAGACACTGTTGTCATCAGCCACAGCCTCAGGGGACAACACTGTGATGAAATGTCCACTCTTCTGATCTTGACTTCACCTCTTTTATGCCTTGCAGGTATGTGGAACATGCCTTTGGACAGCCGCTATGTCACATTAACTGGGACCATCACACGAGGGAAGAAAAAGGGCCAGATGGTGGACATCCATGTCACTTTGACAGAAAAGGAGCTGCAGGAATTGACCAAGCCTAAAGAGTCATTGAAAGAAACAACCCCTGAAGGCAGAAAGGTCTGCCAGATGTCGGCAGACCGTGGGCCCCACGTGGTCCTCTGGACACTGGTCTGCCTGCCTGTGGTTTTTATCCTCTCCTTCGTTGTCTCTTTCTACTATGGCACTATCACTTGGTACAACATCTTCCTTGTGTACAATGAGGAGAGGACCTTCTGGCATAAGATCTCATGTTGCCCCTGCCTCATTCTCTTCTACCCAGTGCTCATCATGGCCATGGCCTCTTCCCTGGGCCTCTATGCTGCTGTGGTTCAGCTCTCGTGGTCCTGGGGAGCATGGTGGCAAGCTGCCCGGGACATGGAGAAAGGCTTCTGTGGCTGGCTTTGCAGCAAGCTGGGTCTGGAGGACTGTTCTCCCTACAGCATTGTGGAGTTGCTTGAATATGATAATATTTCAGGCAATCTCTCCAACAAGGACCCCACCCAGGAAGTAGAAACTTCCACTGTCTAAACTTCGAACACCTTATTTCCTCTTCTGGTCCCTGTAGCCTGTATATCATCTTCCAATTTCCCTCTCCTCACAGTGTTTCCAGAAAAGTCTAGCCCACACTGATCTGCCCTACTATTTTGATGATTCTAGGAGAGCAGGGAACAAAAAAGCAATTTATACAAAAGTTGGCCATACAATGGACAAACTCTTCTTCATCCCCTGCCCTAAAATGACCATTCATCTGGGACAAGGAGCTCAGTTTTATGTCAGTTCTGGTGCTTGAAGGTGTTACTGGTGCTTGGAACTCAGGGGAATATGTGAGTAAGTGTGACAGGGAGAATAAGGAGGCTCTGGGGGACCAATAAAATAATAGGGGTTGAGTGAAACATTTAGGAAGCAGGTTTACCACAGTGTAGCAGAATGTAAAGATTTGTATGCATCACTTAGAGTTTTATTTAGCTGCATATAATTGATATCCCAAAATATGAGTGGTTTAAACAAGATAGAAGTTTACTTCTTTCTTCTATAGAAGAAGTCTGGAGGCAGACCATCAGGGGACCTGATAGAGTTACTTGGATCCAGGCTTCTTTTATTCCCCTACCATTGGTGAAATATGACCCTCATAACCTTTATCTTCCACACCCCAGTGCTGACTACATCTGCAGCCATTTCATCCATGTTTCTGGCAGAATAGAGGAAGGGGCAAAGAAAAGCATATTTTCTATGCTCAAGGAGGCTTCCCAAAGTCTCACTCAATACTTCTTATATCTCATTGGCGAGACCTTCGTCACATGATCTAACAAGCAAAATAGGCTGCAAAATGTAGTCTTTTCACAGTTATATGCTAGGCTAAATATGGGGGTTATGCAAATTTAAGAGGAATAAAGACGAATGGCTATTTTGATTGGCAAGTAAGAATATCAACAATTATTTAAATATATTCAGGTCCCAAACTGCTAATATAGTTTTATTTATTTATTTATTTATTTATTTAGGCCTAAATCTTAGAGATTTTATATATAGATACTAGCTATATATACTATGTATAAGCTATATATAGATATTAGTATCTTGTACTTTGCAATTAAATGACTGTAATGTCATGTGGTTTCAGGGTTCTTTTTAGAAGCAAAGAGTAAACAGTTGAGTACAACTGTATGGCAGTAGTGTACCTTTTTTCCTGGTAGTGAAGGTGGGACTGGGTGGTAATATTTAATTTACTCTAAGATTAAAGACTGTGCAGGGAGGGATTGCATCTGTCATTCCCCACTGCCTCCCCCCAACCCCCCAACAGGGATTGGTAGCCCTAAGCAGGAAGAAGATAGAGTTATTTTTCTGTTGTTTGGAAAAACCTCACTCAGAGCCTCACTCACTCATGCCTTTCTGGAGTTTAACAACAAACACAATCTTTGTTGAGCTGGAAGACTGTCTTCCTGGTCACCAGAGAGTGTTAAGCAGATTAATCTAGATTGATTTTAAACTTAAAACCAAATTCATTCCTGAAGGTGTATTTCTAATTTTTTTTAATTGAATCATCACAGATCAAGAAGTTTTTGGAGGTTTGGGGCCTTACAAGAATAGCTGGTACTTGTTTCTTATTCATGTCTCAGGAAGAAGTTGAAAGAACTTCTGTGAAGAAACCAGACTGGTTGGGCATGATCTCCCACAGAAGGCCAGGGACATTTGTTTAACATATGGTGCTGAAATCCACCTTCAGAAGATATCCCACAATCATTATTATGATTATTTCATCTTCACCCAATGATATTTTTATTGACTTTAGAGACAGAAGAAGGCAGAGAGAGAAACATCAATATGAGAGAAAAACATCCATCTGCTGCCTCTTGTACATGCCCCAACTAGAATCGAACCCACAACCTAGGTATGTGCTCTGACTTGGAATTAAACCTGCAATCTTTTGAACCTCCAACCAACTGAGCCACCCAGTCAGGGCAACACCCACCTTTTAAATAACTATTATTAGTTTGACAAAAACAAAATTCTGTTCAACATTTTTGAAGATAAACTTGGTGCTCATTGGTGCTTTTGTAACCATAATTTAATATCACCAATCTAGTGATTAAAGTTACTTATTCTGTAACAAATCAAAGTAGATGTGCTTTCACCTCTGGCCAAGTTCTCATTACACTGGAACAGCCTATTTTGGGTGTAAGGAATGCTAATGCTGCAATAAAACTGAGGATGTCTGCTGGCATACAATGAGGGATGACTCTGACCTTCAGGTATTCCAGCTCCAGAATATTTGCTGATCTTCAATTGTAAAACCAGGATGATGCACCCAGACCATCACTTGACCAGTTTTAAGATTCTTAACGGAATGGACTATGCTGGTCTGCACGTAAAAAACTTTTCAAACTCCTCTCCTTAATCTTTTTGTTCTGTTTTCCTTTCCCTCCTTATAAAAACCCCTTCCTGCACTGAGATGCTACGATTGTTTTGAAGGACAAGAGTCCACCATCTTCTCAGGTCGCTGGCACCTGAATAAACCTCTTTCCTTATTTACTGTACCTGTCTCATGAGTATTGGCTTTCATGGAGGCAGGCAACTGAGCTTGTGGGTTGTTTCCTCAGTTTCACTTTTGCAGAGATGTAAACAATTGAAATGAAAACAAAATAAAATATAAATAAAATGTGCTCACTTTGTTTCTGAGTTTCTCCCAAACTGCTTTGAGAGCAACAATTTGCAGAAAAAGAGTAACTATGGTGGCTGTTCTATCTCTCTATATAAAAGCCTAAGCAACTGTTAAGACTTGTTAACAGGTCACTATGACATGCACTGACCACCAGGAGGCAGATGCTTGACACAGGAGCTGCCCTGTGGTGGTCAGTGTGCTCCCACAGCCAACCTCCTGCGGTCCCTCCCCCAGACTGGGAGAGATGGCCCTGATTGGCCCCAATCGCTGGCCAGGCCGAGGGACCCCACCCATGCACGTATTCGTGCACCTGGCCTCTAGTCTATATATATAAAAAAGTGTAATATGCAAATTGACCTGACAGTGAAACAAGGTCGGCTATGATGCACACTGACTACCAAGGGGCAGACGCTCATTGCAGGAGCTGCCCCGAGCCCGCAGGCTCTGATCGCCCGTTGGGGAACAGGGAACTGGGGGTGGGTGGCGGCAGGTGCAGGTGGCCCCAGGGCCCCGATCACCCTGTCAGTCGCCCCACACACATAGAGGGCGACTGGTGACCAGCAGTGATGGGGGGTGGGGCCAGCTGCTGGCAGCTGGGGAAGATTGGCCCTGATTGCAGGCCAGGCCTAGGGACCCCACCCATGCACGAATTTTGTGCACCAGGCCTCTAGTATCCTATATAATAAAGAGCTAATATGCAAGTGGTTGTCACACCCTCACATTATCATGCCCTCATGCCTTCATGCCTTAATTGCTCAGACACTCAACACCGGGGAGAGAGGAATGGGGACCAGCCAGGCACACATGAGCTGGCAAGAGAGGAATGGGGACCAGCCAGGCTGCAGCCTGGAAGAGGGACAAGCCGCCTGCCCCACGGTCCCGGGAGCCAGCATCTGTGGCTGTGGCCCAGGAGAGGGACAAGCTGCCTGCCCCACGGTCCCGGATACCTGCAGCTGTGGCCTGGGCGAAGCCGGCCCAGGTCCTGGGTGCCTGCAGCTGGCCAGAGGGAGGGAAGCCTGTGTCCTGGGTGCAGGGCGAGGCAGAGGTGGTTAGGGGCGATCAGGCAGGCAGGCAGAGGTGGTTAGGGGTGATCAGGCAGGCAGAGGTGATTAGGGGCGATTAGGCAGGCAGGCAGAGGGGTTAAGAGCCATCAGGCAGGCAGACAGGCAAGTGGTTAGGAGCTAGTGGTCCCAGATTGCGAGAGGCAGTCGGGCATCCCCTGAGGGGTCCTGGATTGGAGAGGCTACAGGCCGGGCTGAGGGATCCCCCCCTGCCCGTGCACGAATTTCGTGCACCGGGCCTCTAGTATATATAATAATCTTAATCTGAATCCATATGAATAGTACTCTTTCCATGTACTGTTACTAGTTGAGCTCGGGCTGCCTGTTGCTGTGTCCAATAACGAAAGCAAGGTTGAATCATATAAGGCGTTTATGGAGGAGGCCAGCCAACCAAGAAGACAGGGTGCTTACAAGCATTCAAATCCTTTTTTACTGCAAGGTGCAAGGGACAGGATTATAAAGGGGAATAGGGCTAGGGTGAGGCTGGAAACAGAGGTCAGCTATTGTTCTTTAGTCATCAGGCGATGAGATGATGTTGATGAGATGATGTTTTGACTTCTGGTGTGTTGGTCTGACCATGCTTATCAGTTCTGCTTGCTGGATTCACAGCTGAGTCACCTCCTCAATTGTTTCACACAGGCCTTGAAAAGGAAACTTAAGAAAAACTTAACCCCCTATTCACATATGAGAAACTTAACCCCATAAGTATATGTGTTCTAAGATTTAAAATAATACGATTATTTTTCAGATTAATTCAGGTGCTCTATCATATTATAAGTCCCCCTATCAGTACCACTAATTTATGGAGATTTTGTTTAGATGGACTGTTTCCACAGACACATATTTACTTAAGCATATATTAGGAAGTTGCAAACACTTTTGCCACACTTTTCTGGGGTTAGGGAAATCAATGGCCAAGGCCAAAAATAGTTATAATTAGGGCAAGGGTAAGGAGGCCATAGTTTAATGGAGGAGAGTGGAGTGAGGATGAGGCCCAAGGGACACACCTAGATGAAGCTGACATGGCCCCCACCCTAGTTGGGATTGCCACCTAGTGGAAGAAATAGGCTTGTAAATGAAAATCATTTCAAAAGGGCTCTAAGAAGGTACCGAAATGCCTAGACTAGTAGAAGGAAAACTTAACCAAATTGGGAGGCATGGCTGATGAGGGGCACCCAAATAACACTGTCATTCTCCTTGCATCCGTTTTCCTCATTTGTGACTGTAGCTCTCTTGCATCTCTCTTCAAAAACGTCCTTTTTTCCTCTACCAGCCATAGCCCATCAACCTCTTGTCCTCCCTCTTTCCACCCAATTACATAGCTTACAAATCTAAACAGATTACATATATAATTAATTACATGACTAATATCTGCCTTTTCGCCCTTGTTAAGGGAGGCCTTTTGCCAGTGAAAGCAGTGCTTAACGTCCATATCCATTCTCAGCACCGCAACTGCCTGGCCGCCTGGAAGTGGGTGATTCTAAGGACGTTGCTAAGGATGGCGAAGATGCAAACAAACACAGGTACTAGAATCTCTGATTTCTCCCAGGAAGCAAATCTGTACTGGAAGGTGTGTGGGTGTGAGATAGGGGAAGGGGGAGAGAAAATAGGAAGGAAGGAGAGAGAAGGAGACAAACAGAAAGGAGAGACTATAGAGAAGATAAAATTATGGATATAAAGCATGCACATTTCCTTCACCGTGGTGGGTCTCCAGTAATTCTACTTATGGGTCATATAAAAAGTTTTAAAAATAATATTTGCGTTTTCAAAGAACTCCTTGAGTTTGAATAAATGAATTTTTCGGATAAGTGGTTTGTATTTAGACACTTGGGCAACTCAACGACCCTCCGCAGCAGGGCGGCACCCAGGGAATCTGCGCATGCTCAGAGGTCGGCGCACGGCGTCCCCGCCTCGCCCAGTCTCCCGGTCTCCCAGCCGCTCTTCCGGTTCATCTGGTTCCGAGTCCGCGGGAACCGAGTTGCGGCGCTGCAGGTTCCCGCCCGGAAGAGGCGACCGGGGCGCCTGCGGAGCGGCAACATGGCGCGGTCGGGGAACAAGGTAGAGGAAGCGTGGGCTTGCGCGTTGCCGGTGCTGACGATGGAAAGGGTGTTTCCGAAGCAGGAATCATGGGATGACGGCGGTGCCAGGGAGTGAGGGAAGAGGGGAGATCATGGTGGTTCGTGGGCTGGATCAGCAGGGCCTGCACCGAGAGATGCAATGTGAGAAAAGCTGGAGATTCGGAGTCCTAAGACCTGCATTTGAGCCTTGCCTACTCCCCACC